CCCTGGTAGGCCTGCGGGGCGGGCTGTCCCGGGCAGCAGGCGGCGGGGCGGCTGATAGGGTCGGGCGGTCCAGGGCCCCTAAGGACAGGCCCAGGCATCTGGAGGGGATGATGGGTCGGCACGGGGCCAAGCATGCTGTGTATAAAAATAAATCCCATCTGTATAGTCCATGTAAGTTGTCTCAGTTACGTTCAAATCTCTTCACAGATTAAACTGGAATTTCTCTATCGTAACTGACTTCTGTCCAGTGAGGTCTGAACATCTACTGGTTGTTGGTGAGATCTTAAATCTCCTGGTTATGACTGTTATTCAGAACTTTCATCTACAGGGCATTGTCAGGCCTTATGATAATACTGTGGATAGAGTTATAGTGATAGTGGTAGCAATGGTTTTGGTTCACAGCTCAGAAAGAAATCCTGATCTGGCAGAAGAGAGATTTTCTCTTTTTAATGGAGAGACTGCTCCTGGAACCCACAGACAGACGTCTCCGGTGACCACCGTCCACTAGCATTGAGCTTCTCTACGTGCCAGGTGCTGTGCTAGGCGTGGGCTGGGGATCCCTTGGAGTAGATTACCTCCCCAATAAGAAATCTTGAGTTGGAATCGGTGTTTTAGAACTCATTGTCTCAGTGCTGAGTTCAGTGACAACTGTGTAAATTTAACTTGAAAACATCGGTAATCACGGGATCACTAGGCAGTGTTGCTATGGCTTTAGATTGCTACTAGCAAGTTCTGCATGGTCCTTTCATGCCCACTGCCTGGCCTCTCCTCTCCCTCCCCAAGGTTATAAGAATCTTCTTGGTGGAGTGTTGGGCAGAGGAGTAGAGATGCATTTGTTTGAGTCTGGGATGAGTCTCTGCAGGGACCTCGGGACCAACCAGCAACTTACAGTAGTCCTCTCCTGTTCAGAGTTTCACTTTCTGCAGTGTCAGTTACCCCAGGTCAAACGCAGACATCCTCTGCATCCACCCATCAACTGGTTATGGCTCCATGATCCTCCTCTTAACCTTTGTCGGAAGGTCAGCAGTAGCCTAATGCTACCTCCCAATGCCTACGTCATTCACCTCACTTCATCTCATCACCTAGGATTGTATCGTCTCACATCCTCACAAGAAGGGTGAGTACAGTACAAGAAGATGTTTTGAGAGACAGAGAGGCCACATTCACAAAACTTTTATTATAGTATGTTTTCATAATTGTTCTATCATTATTAGTTATTGTTCATCTATTACTGTGCCTAATTTATAAATTAAACTTTATCATATGTATGTATGTATAGGAAAAAACATGGTATATATAGGGTTCGGTACTATCTGTGGTTTCAGGCGTTCCCTGGGGGTCTTGGAACATATCCCCCGCATTCAAGGGGGGTCTACTGTACCTTTAAGCAATTTCATTTTAGCTCCCAGAGGCTGTCTGAACAGCTGGAATGCAGGGAATTTATACAGACTGAAGATAATGACTTTCTAGAAACCCTGTGTTATTATTTATGGAACATTGTTAGAAATTGTGCCAATATTATATTTTAGTAGATTAATATATGGTTTGCATAAAATCATTTTTGCCACTGACATGAGTATAAAGAGTGCAAACTCCCATGAAACAACAAAGTGTGGGGGAAGTGGTTTTTTTCTTTATGGGGTAGATGTGAGCCTTCACACGCTTCATGCCAAAAGAATGGATAGTCGGGATCTTTAGAAGAGTAGAGCTAGCCTGACATATTTTGGGAACAAAAATCAACGAGTGTTAATTAGTGTTAATTAGAAGAGGATTAAGTTAATTTTCAGATTCAAAAGTATCCCATAGAATGAACTTAGAATTGAGGGTGGGGTGTTAAGCAGGTGTATTAGTTTCCTAGGGCTGCTGTAACATCCCAACACAAACTGGGTGGCTTAAAACAGCAGGAATGTATTCTCTCACAGTTCTGGAAACTAGAAGTTGTTGGCAGGGTCCTGCTCCCTCTGAAGGTTCTAGGCAAGAATCCTTCCTTGCCTCTTCCTAGCATCTGGTGGCTCCTCGCAATGCTTGGATTCCTTGGCTTTTAGCCACATTACTGCAATTTCTGCCTGTCCTGGTGTGGCCTTTCCTGTGTCTCTCCTGTGTCTCTGTATCCAAATCTCCCTCTTCTTCCTCTTATTAAGACACCAGTCATTGGTTTAGAGCCCACCCCAATCCAGTATGACCTCATCTTAACTCAATTACATTTGTCAAGACCCTATTTCCAAATAAGGTCATGTTCACAGGTACCCGGGGTTAGGACTTGAACATATCTTTTTGGGGGACACAATTTACTGCACCACAGGAGACAAAATTATAAAAGCCCCCAGTCAACTCCTTTTGGCTCACAGCTAACCTTCTTGTATTCCTGCTTTGTTTCCTAACACTTTCTCTACACCGTCTACATGTTTGCTTCCAGGAATCTTGCTTACAAATTCATCCATTGTAAGGTGTCAGAGGGCATTTGCCATTATCAGGCTACAGAGAAAGAAATGCCTAAATGTGGGATTTCAGGCATCAAGATTATAGAAAGGGCAGTTGTGTTCTGTTTGTCACTAAATATTTGAAATCACATGAATTTCCCTTCTCATGAAGCTGAGTATTGGAAATGTTGGTGTCCGGAGAATTCTGAGTGTACATTGACAGTGAGAAATTATTTAGTGTGTGAAGGGGATTCACAAATACAGACTCATACATCTGAGTGTTACAAACTCTTAAGACCCATGTTGGGGATAGAACAGTACTGAATTGTATTTCTGTAAAGGGTACAACCCGCTTCGGGTCATGAAGCCACCTCAACATGCTTAGAAACACTCAGGTCACAGCTCTTAGCAATGGAAGCCAAGATGAAATGGAAAGACTTCACTAGACTCGAAATCTGGCTTGAGTTAGCATCCTGGCTTTGCCTTGAATTATCTGTGTAAGTTTTGCCAAGTAATAGTTTGTATGGGCTTCAGTTTCTTCACCTGTACAATAAGCATAACATGATAGCTTATATTATACACTGTATAATAGCTTTATATAATGTTTGTTTTTTTTGTGAGGGAGATCAGCCCTGAGCTAACATCTGTGCCAATCCTCCTTTTTTTTTGCTGAGGAAGACCGGCTCTGAGCTAACATCTATTGCCAATCCTCCTCCTTTTTTTCTTCCCCAAAGCCCCAGTAGATAATTGTATGTCACAGTTGCACGTCCTTCTAGTTGCTGTATGTGGGACGCGGCCTCAGCATGGCTGGAGAAGCAGTGCGTCGGTGCGCGCCCGGGATCCGAACCCAGGCCGCCAGTAGCGGAGCGACGCACTTAACCGCTAAGCCACCAGGCTGGCCCTATATAATGTTTTATATTATATATGTTGTATTGCTATGGTCTGAATGTTTGTGTCCCCTCAAAATTCGTGTGTTGAAATCCCAACCCCCAGGTGATGGTATTAGGAGGTGGGGCCTTTGGGAGGTGCTTAGGGCATGATGGCAGAGCCCCCATGATTTGGATTAGTGCCCTTATGAAAGAGACCCTGAGAGCTAGCTCTTCCCTTCCGCCATGTGCAGACGCAATGAAAAGTCTGTGATGTGGAAGAAGGCCCTCACCCAACCGTGCTGGCACCCTGATCTCAGAGCTCCAGCCTCCAGAACTGTGAGCAATAAATTTATGTTGTTTATAAGCCACTCAGTCTGTGGTATTTTGTTATAGCAGCCCAAGTTAGCAGACGAAGAAAAGTATATGCACATATATATGTAACAACACATATGTTGTCTTATGTACATATATAACAGCAATATATATGTTATGTTATAATAAGCCAACCTCACAAAGGTCTAGAGACAAAGGGGAGATAAAAAATGTAAAAGGTCTAGACAAATGTAACCAGTTGTTCTAAGAGAAAGGACTGGAAATTAATTTCCTCACAGGCTTAAGGCACATAAATGCTGGTACTGTTGACCATGGGGCATATGCTCAACCTTGCGGCAGCTCTCCCTGCTGATGGCGGAGCATTTAATCACCCCTCCATTAGAGTGCTTTCCGTACTGTCTTAAGCTTGCACAGTCAGCGGGGCTTATTGAGAGAGCATGCAATTAGCCTATATAAGTGGTTACAAAAGAAAAAAAAGATACAATCTCTACTCATAAGATAAAGCCAGGAAGAATGACCCTTTATATAGTAGCCAGGACAAAAGTGATTTCTACAATGGATTGTATCACCAAGAATAAAACCAACAGAAGATGGCAAAAAAGTCATCTTTCTCTCAAGATTATATAGAGAATCCAGAATTTTGTTCCCTTGGCAATGAAGACACACTGAAATGGAGACATCAATAAATTTAAAAGAAGAATGTCACTGATCTTATAGATACTAGCATCTTTTCTATCAGTTCAAATGAATATTTAGGCATGACCATCA